CGGTGGAGGGGGGCTGCCGGCAGCTGCTGCCTGGCAACTGGGCACAGCCCCCCCCAAATCCCAGAGGTGCGGGCTTTTCCCGAGCTTGCAGCTGCATCAAGATGTGCAGAGCTGTGTGCACTGCGCCGGGGCATCCGTGCCCCTGCTGCCATGCCATGCCCCTGCTCCGTGCCTGCGTCGGGGGTGCAGTCCAGCCTGACCGTGCCGAGCTGTGCTGGGTGCTGGCAGCCACCACCGTATGGCAGTGGCTGCAGGGAGCAGGAAGAGCCTTTTGAGGTGCATCTCCTGGGGGGAGATCAGGGGTGGGGATGTTCTCTGGGATAGCGTCAAATGTTGGCTGCTTTCTCTGTCTGGGAGCTGCACATCTGTGGGAGGCTGCTGGGAGCAAGGTGTGGCCACCCTGGTGATCCCAGAGCCCCATTCCCTCCCGGCAGGCCGACATCGAGCAGCTGGACCCCCGAGGACGCACCCCACTGCATCTGGCCACCACACTGGGCCACCTTGAGTGTGCCAGGGTGCTGCTGAAGCATGGAGCCGACGTGGGCAAGGAGAACCGCAGCGGATGGACAGGTACGCAGGTGGCTCATTGTTTCTGTCCTCCCTCAGGCTCCCCTGGCACAGGCACAGAAATGGGCATAGGGACAGACATGGGCATGGACATGGGCACAAGCACAGGCACAGGCATGGTCATGCTCACCTTGGTGCTGCAGCTCCCCAGGGGACCGTTCACATGGTGGTCTGTGCCTGTGGCTCCTGTGCAGTGCCCAGCTCTGCAGTGCCATGTGTGCCATGCCATGGCCCTGGGCACTGCCCTTGTGCCCCACAGTCCTGCAGGAGGCCGTGAGCACCCGTGACCTGGAGCTGGTGCAGCTGGTCCTGCGCTACCGCGACTACCAGAGAGCCATCAAGCGCCTGGCCGGGATCCCCGTCCTGCTGGAGAAGCTGCGCAAGGTACCTCCCTCCTCCCGCAGGGGCTGCGGGGGGGCTGCCAGCCACAGGCTCCTCCCGACCCCTCTGTGTGCTCCACAGGCCCAGGACTTCTACGTGGAGATGAAGTGGGAGTTCACCAGCTGGGGTGAGCTCAGGGCAGAGCGTGGCTGTGGGAGGAGTGGGAGTTTCCCAGCAGAGTCCCCCAGCCCTGGCACCCATCCCCAGGTCAGGGGTTACCTGCTCCTTTACCCCTAGACACCCCAAGCTTGCAGACCCCCATCCTGCCAAGGCGTTGGCTTCCCCAGGTGCATCCACCACCCAGCTAAGTGCTGGCAGCCCACTCGGGGGTGCAGGTGGCCCCATCCCTGGCTGGGCTATTGGCATCTCTCCCCAGTGCCTCTGGTGTCCAAGATCTGCCCCAGTGACACCTACAAGGTGTGGAAGAGCGGCCAGAACCTGCGGGTGGACACCACGCTGCTGGGCTTTGACCATATGACCTGGCAGCGGGGCAACCGCAGCTTTGTCTTCCGAGGACAAGGTGAGGTGGCCCCAGGGCGTCCCCCCACCCTCAGCAGGGAGCGCTGGCAGAGTCTCGTGGTGCTGCAACGGGGCCAGGTAATGTGGTGGAGACCGTGGTTGTCCTGACCCTGCTCCCTGCAGACACCAGCGCGGTGGTGATGGAGATTGACCACGACCGGCGGGTGGTCTACTCGGAGACGCTGGCCCTGGCCGGCCACGACCAGGAGGTGCTGCTGGCTGCTGTGCAGCCCACGGAGGAGCAGGTGATGGGGCGGCTGACAGCCCCCGTTGTCACCACCCAGCTCGACACCAAGAACATCGCCTTCGAGAGGTGGGCAGGGGTGGCACCAAGCCCACCCCCAGGGGTGCGGAGCACCCTGGGCTGTCCAAGCAAGCCCATCCATTGCTCACGGTGCTGTGTCGCTCCAGGAACAAGTCCGGGATCCTGGGCTGGAGGAGCGAGAAGACAGAAATGGTGAATGGGTACGAGGCCAAGGTGAGGGGCAGTGGGTGTTGAGCCGCCCAGAGGGGTATGGCCAGTTGCAGGTGGGGGTTACCCACCCCTGCCATTCCCCTCCTCATCCAGGTCTATGGCGCATCCAACGTGGAGCTGATCACACGGACGCGGACTGAGCACCTCTCGGACCAGCACAAGGGCAAGAGCAAAGGTGCAGCTGGCACGGGCTGGGTGGGCAGGGCCCCCCTGGCTCTGCCCTCACCCCCTCCTGTCCCGCAGGCTGTAAGACCCCCCTGCAGTCCTTCCTGGGCATCGCTGAGCAGCACGTGGGGCCCAACAATGGGGTGAGTGTCCCAGAGGTCTGGGAGGTCGCCCTGCAGTCAGACCTCCCCTCCTCACCCAACCGGGCTGTTCCCCCACGCAGACACTGATCACGCAGACGCTGAGCCACGCCAACCCCACCGCCATCACCCCTGAGGAATATTTCAACCCCAACTTCGAGCTGGGCAACCGGGACATGGGACGGCCCATGGAGCTCACCACCAAGACACAGAAGTGAGAGGGGAAGGAGCAGATGGGGACCCCCTTGTGTCCCCACCCCCAGGGAGACAGGCAGGGATCTGCAGCCCAACGCCTGTGCCCGTCAGGTTCAAGGCGAAGCTGTGGCTGTGCGAGGACCACCCACTGTCCCTCTGCGAGCAGGTTGCCCCCATCATCGACCTCATGGCAATAAGCAACGCGCTCTTCGCCAAACTGCGGGACTTCATCACCCTGCGCCTCCCGCCCGGCTTCCCCGTCAAGATCGGTATGGGGGGGAACTCTGCTGCTGGCTCAGCTGGCACAGCCAGCTTCCCTCCCTGCTTTTTTTTCTTCCCCTTCCTGCAGAAATCCCCATCTTCCATATCCTCAACGCCCGCATCACCTTTGGCAACCTCAATGGGTGTGACGAGCCTGTCAGTTCCCTGCGGCACAGCCCCAGCAGTGAGGCACCCTCACCCAGCAGCGACTCCTCCAGCGTCAGCAGCTCCAGCTCCCTCAGTATGTGGGGTGAGAGGGAGGGGTCCCAGCAGGATGAGTCAGACGTGGTTGGTGAGGCGGGGTGGGAACGGGTCCCAGCGGGGTCAGGGGGACACGGCTGGTTGAGAGGGAAGAGGTCCCAGTGAGATGAAGGGACCACGGCTGGTGGGGCAGGAGTGGGTCACAGCAGGGTGAGGGACACGTGACTGCTGGGGTGGGAGGGGGTCCCTTGGAGTGCCCAGCCATGCCAGCTCCTGTCTCCCCACAGCCTCGTGCCGAGCGTGCGAGATGGACCCGGCGCTGTTCGAGGTGCCGCGGGGGTACAGCGTGGTGGGCACCCACCAGGATGCCCTGAGGGAGGATGAGGATGACCTGCTGCAGTTTGCCATCCAGCAGAGCCTGCTGGAAGCCGGCAGCGAGTACGACCAGGTGGGCACTGTCACCCCCCTGCCTCCTCCTGCCTGCCTTGGCTGGAGGACTCTGTTGCTCATCCCATCCTGGTGTTGCCCAGGGTGTTCACCCCACATTTCCCCATCCCTGGTGGTGGGGTCAGAGCTCATCCTAGGGGGCTGAGTTTTGGGGTGCCACTCTCCAAGCACCCTCTGCCGCTGACCACAGGTGACCATTTGGGAAGCACTGACCAACAGCAAGCCGGGCACCCACCCCATGTCGCACGAAGGCCGCCGGGGAGACAGGTTGGTAAGGTCCGGCCAGTCCCCCTGGGGGAAGTGGGAGTGGGCACCAGCTCCACAGGGACCCCCGCTGAGCTCCTGCCGCCCCCCAGGACTCCCCAGCACACGGCGGCCCCCCGGCCCCCTGTCACCCCGGCCCCGGGGGGGAGCAGGGGGCCCAGCGCCCTGTTCCCCAGCTACGCAGAGCAGCTGCGTCTGGCCATGGCCCTGTCGGCGCGGGAGCAGGAGGAAGCGGAGCGCCGGACGCGGCAGGAGGAAGAGGATCTGCAACGGATCCTGCAGCTCTCACTGACGGAGAAGTGACCCCGCGCCCCCACTGAGCCCCTCACCCGCCCCAGTGGGGATGGGGACACGGCCAGTGCTGTGTCTGGGGCCACAGAGGGGGAGCGGGTTGGGGGGAGCCAGTCCAAGAACTGCAGAGGGCAAATGGGGAGGCAGGGCAGGATTTGGCCCTGGTATGGGGGAGAATGTCACCAGAGCTGGGGCAGCATTGGGTGGGGTGGGGGCACCCCACAGCAGGACAGGTTGGGGGTGGGTGTCAACCCCACACCTAGGGTGGCAGGAACCAGGGAGGGCAACTGCACAGACTGTATCCCCTCCCCAGGACAGCCCTGGCCCCCCACAACTGCCCTATGGGGTGCTGCTCAGCACCTCACCCCAGGAAGGTGGTGGGGGCACATCCTGCCCCAGATGGGTGGGGCTGCCAGTTGCGTGGGGTTCCGGGGTGCCCCCAGAGCCGGGGGGCTTTGCCCAGTCCCCTCTTCCGCCCCTTGCCCAGGCACTACCAAGTGCACTTACCCGGGAGCTGCTCTGCCTGCCAGGGGGTGGGGGGGGCTCAGCCCCACTGCACCCCATAGCCAGTGTGGGGCTGCACAGCCGCCCTCCACCACAGTGTGGGGGTTCTGCTGGGGCAGCTGAGGGGGTGCCTATGAGAGGCCGCCTGGTGTCACCCCCCCTTACCCCCTGCTCACACCCCTCCACCCTGCTCAGATGCCCCCCCTTGGCAGCGCTGCACCCCCTCGTCCTGGGCACTGACCCCGAGAGAAACCTTACGTCAAATGGTGCTAACCCCGGCCCCCCGCCCCGGCTGCTCCCCCTTTGCACACGAGGGGCCGGGGGCTGCGGGGTGGGGGGCTGGGCTCACTCCCCTGGGACTTTTCATGGCCCCCCACCCACCCACGCACCCCACAGCAACATCTGGGCCAGGGCCAGGGGAGCCCGAGCAGCTCCGACCGCAGCCAACACCAATAAATGCTCTTTAATGTTTGTCTCTCTTGGCCTCCCTCCACCTGTGCAAGGGGTGTGTGGGCAGCAGGTGCTGGCAGTGGGGTGCAGGCAGGACCCTCTGGCATGGTGGTCCCTTGTCCCCAGTACCTGCCACGTGGCCAAGGGTGGCTGAGCCCTTTATTAAAGGGGTCCAGGAGCAAAGAGCTGGTTGGGAGCACCTGCCGAGGGGGCGATGGGGCAGGGGGAGGTGAGGGGGTGATGGGATGGGGATGTAGCACCGTACCCAAGCACATCCTGGCCAGGAGGGCCTGGCAGCTCCCCATCCTGGGAGGATGCTGGTGCCCAGCATGCAGGTCCCCACAGAAGGATGCTTGGCAGCCCCAGCCTGCGGGCACTGAAGCGGGACCCCCTTGGGTGCTGCAGTGGGGTGCCCATATGCTGGGGCACCCCAGAAGCAAGATGCAACTGATGCTAGTGGGGGGGGTGTCAGGGTTCGACCTCCTCCCTGCCCCTTCGTCTCCTGGGGAAAGAACATGGCTCTGGGCTCCTGCCCAATGTGGGGACTCGGCTTTAATCCCCGGCAGGCCGGGGCAGTCCTTGCCCTGCCCGTGGCCTTGGCCACCGCGCTAGTCCGTGCCATTGGTGAACTGGCAGAGTTTGTTCTCCAGGTCGGAGATGCGCTTCTCCTGTGCTTGGACCATCTCCTTCAGGGCACGGATCTCCTCCAACACCTCCTCCAAGGCTGGCTGCTGCAGGGAGGGGAGACACAGGGTCACCAAGGAGTCTGGCCCCTCCAACCCACCCTGGACAGGGGGACAGCCCTGCTGCCATGTCCCTGTCCTCAGGACACTCACAGAGAAGTCAGACTCGCAGGTGGAGTGGCTGCGGCGGGGGCCTGGGGGAGGCTTGCTGTCCAGGATGTTCTTCTTGACCACCTTCAGCTCTCGGTTCTTGATGGGGACGTACCCGTCCCGCAGCGAGATGAGGATGGGCTCTGCATCCTTCCCTGACAGCCACTCATCTGCCTCCAGGGCTGGCTCGGGGCCTGGTGTGTCGGGGTACAGGTCATCCTGGAAGAGGTCTGACTGCGGGAGGGAGAGACCAGAGTGAGACATGGAGTGTCCTCCCCCCCAGACCTCCCATCTCCCCTGGGACCCCCGAGCTCACCTTGCGTGGCACCGTCATGACGATGGGCTCACACTTGCGCTCATGGAGCTTGAAGAACCTGAGTGGGACAGAGGCAGTCAGGGTCCAGCTGACCCCCTGACCCCTCTGGCTCCCCCCAGGCCCCCTTGCTCTCACCTGGCAATCTCGCACTTGCTGACATCCAGCCCACGCTTGGGCATGAAGCCCATGCCCCGCTGGGGCTCCTTGCTGCTGTAGGTGTTCAGGTAGTGCACGTAGGGTGCCTCGTCCGTGATCTCAAAGTACCGGATGCTGCTGTCACCCTGTGGGTGTGGGGATGGGTGTCAGTCAGCCCCCCTGAGGGGGGGTGGCATGCAGGTGCACCCTGGGTGGGGAGTTACCTTCCCGCAGAGGTAGACAATGCTGGAGTCGGCGTCGTAGAAGGGCAGAAGGACCCCGTTGCTCGTGTCCATCTCCTGCAGGGCGATGGGCTCCTCAAAGTTATTCTGCAGGGCCGCAGTGGTGGAGGGGTGTGAGCAGTGGCCACAAAACCCCCACCCTGGTTAGTCACACACATTAGCCACAGCACACTGGGGGACAGGGCTTGTCCCCCTCCCTAGGGTACACAACCCCCGGGCAGGCAGCTTGGCATGCCCCCCCCAGACCCTCGTCCCACTCCTGTTTACCTGCATGGCTGGGTACCCCCCAGCCTGGCTGTACCCGCCTCCCCCAGCACTCCCTGCCTCCCAGCCCCCTCCCCACCCCAGCACAGCACGGCACACTTGGGAACTTGGCATCTTTTGGAGGGGGGATGCTGCAGGCACCCCATCTTGGGGTGGGGGAGGGTGGCAGGGGGTCGGGGGGGCCAAGTTCCCGGGGCAGCACTCCATGCGGCCTCGTTACCGGGTCCCACAAGCCCAGCTCCCGCTGGCTCATTCTGGTAAAGCCCGTGGTAAAGATGTGTCCTTCCCGTGTGAAGATGGCCCGCACGGGCCTCAGCCCTTCGTGGGGGGCAAACCTCTCCTGGGGGGGAGGGAGGACAGTCAGCATGGGGCATGGGAAGGGGGGGAAAATGGAGGGGGTCCGGATCTGTTCCCTAAAACAGCTGTTGAGTCCTACTGCAGGGGAGCACACGATGCTCCCGGGGTACACGCGCTGCCAGAGAGAATCCCCAGCACCCAAAGCATTCCTGGCTGGGCTGAGCTCTGCAAGGTCGCTGCTGGCTGGGCGGGAGCCACCGTCTCGTACCAGGTCCCAGAGGCCCAGCTGCCGCTCACTCATCTTGCTGAAGCCAGTGGTGAAGATCTTGCCATCGGCCACGAAGATGGCGCGGATGGGGCGGGTGCCGTCGTGCGGTTTGGTTTTCTCCTGCGCCGGCGTTAGCGGGTTAAACCAAACACAGAGACGCGCGGTGTGGGGGTTAGTAGGGTCAGGCAGGCACCGGGGGGACCCCGCGGCGGGCTGGGGGGGACACGGCAGGAGCACTCACCGCTATGATCTGCTGCTTGCGGGGGTCGATGACACGGACCTTCTTGTCCTTGCAGGTGGTGACGAGGAGGCTGCCGTTGCGGTTCCAGCCCACGTTGTAGATGAGGTCAGTGTGCATGTCATCCAGCGCCAGCAGCATCTCCCCCGTCCCCACGTTCCAGAGGATCACCAGGTTGTCACAGCCTGCAGAGGACCAAGGGGGCAGGTGCTGTCACCCCACGGATCCCCTCTGACCCCGGGGAGGGCAACCCGGGACCCCCTTACCTGCGCTGAGCAGGACGTTGCGGGCGGTGGGGTGCCAGGAGATGATGCTCACCCGCTTGGAGTGTCCCTCCAGCGTCACCACTGGCTCCGTGATGTTGCGCACAGGGACATAGTCAGGGATCTGCCACACCTGGGGGAGGGACAGAGAGCGGGATGTTGGGGATCACCCCGCATGTGAGGGCTAAGCGGATGAGGGCCTCAGAGCCAATTAACCTCATCGTTAATCTCGGCTCAGCCTGCAGGGAGGGTGGCGAGGAGACTCCAGAAGCGCCTCCATCCTGGGGTGCATCCCCAGCACTTGGGGTGCTGGTGGGCACAGGGTGGGGGGCATGGCCAGGGCGCAGCCCTCAGCCCCCCCCAGCTATTCCTGGGTGCTGAGTCGCCAGGGCGGGTATATTTAGCACAAACTGCTGCATCATGGAGCGAGCAGCCGCCGCCAGCGCGAACGCATGGCACCGGGGCTAAAAATAGGCCAGTGACACTCCGCAGGCAGCGAAGGGGGGGGAATGCTCTGCACCGCTCCCCCAGCACCCGCTGCCCCCCCCACTCGGGGTCCAGCCCCTCACCATGACGGTGGTGTCCTCCGAGGCACTGGCGATGACGTTGTCGTTGTGGGGACACCAGTCGATGTCCAGCACGGGCGCCGTGTGTCCCGTCACCAGCGGGTGGTTCTTGTCCACCCGTCCTGTCTGCAACGTTGAGGTGTCAGAATGAATCTCCAGAGGCTGGGGGCAATCCTGCCAGGTGCCCTGGGAAGCCAAGCCCAGCCCAGCCAGGGGTTGTGGCACAAGTGGGGACATGCAGGGGATCCCTGGCGGTGGCCAGAGATTTGCACCTGCCTTGAAAGGGGGAAACTGAGGCACGGAGGGGGAATGGGGTTCACTTGGCGTACAGCCCCATAGGAACACAGAGGGGAACAATGTGCCCCTGAGACTGGTTTGTGTCCCTTCTGATGGCATGGAGGGGCTGGGGACGCCCCTTCCAGTCTCTCAGCCAGGGTTGGCAGGGCAGACCCCACCCCACTGGGTGCTGCTCCATGGGCATCATGTGTCCCTGAGGAACTGAGGAACTGGGGAGAAAGCACCTGGGGATTTCCCACATCACCTCAGTTACCCCTGGGATGTTACTTTTCACAGGTGCTGATGATCAGCCAGGCTGTTTCTGCCCTGAGCCCCCACGTGAGGAGGGGCTGTTGGGGCAAAGCTGGGGGGCTCTGAGGGGCTCTGGGGTCACCCAAAAGCAACACCCACCATGCAACCCCCCAAAAGCAACACCCCACCAGCATGTCCCCCCCAGTATATCCCAGGGAGGCAGCCAGACCTCAGCATCCTCCCCACTCACCTTGGCAAGGGGCAGGACAATGAAGGCCCCCCCGCCACCAGACTCCACGATGATGGCCACAAACTTGGGGTTGACGGCGCAGAAGGAGCTGTCACATGTCACCTTGGAGACACGGATGTCCTCGTACATCTGGTCGGCCTTCACCGGCTGCCCGAAGACGTGGCGGAACTTGCTCTGGCGCACCACGCGGCGGCTCATGGCTGGGGGGCACAGGGTCAGGCCACCACCTCCCTACCCTGGCACAGCATGGAGGGGTTTTGATCCCCTCAGACCTTGTGCTCCGAGTTACACCCTCTGCCCTGGGCACAGTGGGAAGCCTGGGAACACCGAGGTGGCCGGGGGTGAGGATGCAGGATGGTGCCTGATGTGGCCCCGACCCCATGGCAGGGACTGGAGGCAGCCCTTGTGCAGGGATGTGGGGTGCTGCAGGTGCTGAGGGTGGGCAGCCGGTGGCCAAAGCCACTTGACACTGAGCAGGGACACAGCTGTGCCATGATGTGCAGGTGTGCCATGTGCTACCGCTGTGCCATGTGCCACGGCTGTGCCATAACCCACAGCTGTGCCATAACCCACGGCTGTGCAATGCTCCGCAGCTCTGCCGTACCCCACAGCTGTGTCATGCCCCATGGCTGTGCCGTGTCCCTCAGCTGTGCTGTGCCCCGTGGCTGGCACTGGGTTTGGCACATGAGCAGCTGCAGTAGAGAAGCAGGCTTGAGGGGACTTTGGGGTGGACCTGTGACCATGCAGCGGCTCACAGCTTGTCCCCTTGTATCCCATCCTGCACTAGTGAGGCTGCCTGGCCTGACCCAGCACCCAGGAGGGAGGCTGTGCCTCCAGCGTTGCCTGCTGGTGGCTCACGCGTCCCTCCATGGGCCCCTGTCCCGCGGCTCCGCATGTGCCACCCACTCTGCACCCCCACCTGGGCAAGGGCTGGACTTGCCATAGCCACACAGCCCCTGGGCACACCGGAGCCCCCCATTCTCAGCATGGCTCTGGTGGGGTCTCCAGCCCTCAGCCACAGCCGGGCACGCTGCCCATAGTCACCCATCACTCTCCACAGCTCTGCTGCTCCAGGGACCTGCCCAGGGTGGGCAGTGAGACACTCAGGATCCCGAAACCACTGGAGCTGGGGCTCTGCAGCACTCGCCACTGGCTGCCCTGGGGACTGCCCTGGTTCTTTTGGGTCCACAGCCATTGCCAGAGGCCACATCCAGCCACCAAAATGCAGCTGGAGGGCCAGGCACCGCTGTTCCCAGCCCACGGGGCCGGTGTGGGCAGAGGCAGGAGCAGATCTGCTCCTCCTTGTTCCAGGAGGTAGCTTTTGGACAGGGCACACGCAGTACCCAGGCAAGCTACATCTGCCCAGTCCCTGGGTGTTCCCGGAGTCCTCGTGGCACTTCAGCATCATCCCCGGCCCGGCTGAACGGTTTGGAGCCGGGTGCTAAGGGGCCCGGAGCCCAGCTACCAAGGGGGGCTGGACACTGGCACCGCTGGTGTCACCCCCATGGTCCTGAGCACGGTCTCCGGCCCTGGGGAGGAGCTCTCCGGGGATTTTGCAGCACGTCAACCACTGCCAGCGGGAGCAGAGTTTGGGGTGTCAGCATGCAGGCTAAGGGGGGCCAGCCTGGCTGGCAGGGCAGGGTGCAGGCAGGGTGTGGGGTGCAGGTGAGGGGCGGATGTGGAGCAGGCAGAGTTGAGCAGGGTGCCGGCAGCGTGTAGGGTGCAGGCTGGGTTGGGTGGGGTGCAGGTGAGGTGCAGGCAGGGCTGAATGGGGTGCAGGTGGGGTGCAGGCAGGGCGCTAGCAGGCTGCAGGCATGAGAATTGGGTGGGGTGCAAGCAGGGTGCGGGTGGGGTTGGATGGGGTGCTGGCAGAGAGAGATGGGGTGCAGGTGGGGTCAGGCGGGGTACGGGTGGGGTGCAGGCGGCGTGCAGGCAGGATACAGGCAGGGTGCAGGCAGGATACAGGCAGGACAGCCCCGCTCCCCGCTCCCGGCCGTGCCATTACGTTGCCACAATTGAATCCGCAGCGGCTGCTCGCGAACGACCAGAGGTCACTGTCCAAATATAGCCATCTCCGCCGGCGGGCGGCGAGGGGCCGGGGCCCGGGGGGCTCAGCCCCGCTCCCCGCGTCCCCCCGTCCCTTCCCACCGCGGTCCCGCCGCCCCCCCCCCGCCCGGCTCCCACCTGCGCTCGGCGGCTCCTCCGCGCCCGGGCGCGCCCGGCTCCGCTCCGCGCCCCGCTCGGCTCCGCTCCGCCCGCTCCGGCCCCGCTCAGCCCCGCTCCGCTCCCCCCGGCCCGGCCCGGCCCCGCTCGGCTCCGCTCCGCCCGGCTGGGCTCGGCTCGGCCCCGCGCGGTGCCGCTGCCGCAGAGAACAGCTGAGCCGAGCCGGGCGCGGGGCCGGCACAGCCCCCCCGCGGCGGGCACCGGAGGGGAGGGGAGGGGGGGCCCGGCCCGGCCCCGCCTGCCCCCGCACCCTGCCCGGCCCCCCGCTCTGCCCGCGGGGATGGGGGCAGCCCCCGCACAGCCACCCCACACTCCCGCCCCAAAAGCGGGGGGGACCAAGGGTGCCCGCACACCCCCCGGCGCGGTGCGTGGGAGCCCCTCTGTCCAGCGCTGCGGGGGTCTGGTGGGGCAGGAGAACCCCCTTGAGTCTTCCTAAAGCACTGGGGGAAAACGAGGGGAGGGTCAGCTTCGACAGCCCCAGGCTGCCAAAACCCCGGGGGTCACCTCTGCCCAGGGCTATGACCCTGCCATGGGTCCCCCCACACCCCGGAGCAAGCCCAGCACCACAGGGACCATGACCATGGGCTGCCCCTGGGGCTCCCAACACCCACGGCACCCCATAGCGTCCCCACCTCCCCCAGGAGAAAGGGATCTGCAAACCCACGGAGTGAGCCCACGTCAGCCCCAGCCCAGGACGGCAGGATGGTTGTACAGGCACATCCAGAAGCCAGATTTGGGATTTAGTGAAGCTCAGCCCCGGAGGGATGCCCTGGCCCAAGGGGATTAAGGGATTGTAGGGCTCAGGGACCAGAGGGAGGGGAGCGGTGGTTCCTGGAAAGGCAGTAAAGCCCGGGACCCTACAAGGGCACCATGTGGAGCTGGATGAGCATTGGCTGAGCGGGCAGGAGGGGGCAGCTGGCAAAAAGGCAGGGAAAACGTGACATCCTTGTTCACCCAGCCAAAGGGGTGGCAGAGAGGGATGGAGGTGCAGAGGCACCCCTTGCCTGCCCCGCCCCACCATGGCCCTGGCTCATTCTGTCTTTGGGGATGGAGTGAGCCCCGTGTCCCCAGCTCCAAGCCACATCCTCAGCAACTGGAGAAAAGGCCATGGGAAGCCTTTCCCCAGCTGGTGCTGTGGGGAGCAGGAAGGAATTGGGCACCCTGGAGACACTGCCCGCCCCACAGCAATGGCCCTGCACCCCTGGCCCCACACCCTGATGCCCTGGCCCAGTGGGAAGCTTCCTGGAAGATGAGACTGAGCCCGAGGGATTTGGTGCTCTCAGCATTCCCTTGCTCACAGCAAGGGCAGTGGGAGCCCACAGAGACTCTTGTGCCACTTTCTTACCACAACGGGACAGAAAAGTGTGCAAAACCAACTAATCCAAGATGGGCTTTCCCAATGCAAAGATCCACTCATGCCATGGTTATTTGGTGCTTGGATTTGGCTCAGCTCCTTGGCCAACCATGATGGGTCTGGTTCGGTGTCCGGCTAAAACCTCACATCCTCCTTGGAGCTTAAACCCCAGGACCCTCCCCACAGCTCTGCCTGCAGCAGTGCAGGGAGGTCACCCACTGCATCCCAACAACTTTACATGCACAACCCCTGGCACCTGTCCTGCAACTGCAGCAGGATCTGGAGGTACATCTTGCTTGGAAGCACAGCTCCATCACTTGGGACAGGACAGACCCATCCTCCCTTCTGTCAGGGGATGTGAGTGAACAACCCCACTCTGGCTCCCCAGCTTCCCACCGCTGACCCGTGCTCTGAGAGCAGCACGGATCACTCCTCACCCCCAGCCCCGATCCCCCCAAACAAGGCCACACACCCACGTCATCTTCAAAATAAAGTTTTATTCATTCGGTAACAATAACATTGAATCTGCACATCAGTGCACAAGTTCACATTTAAAAACAGCTGAGCACATCGGTCATAGAGTCTTTAGGGGAAAAGGGGACGATCCCAGCCACCAAGGAAGATCCAGGAGGGGCAGACAGAAGCGCTCCCCTCCCTGATTTGCAACCCCACCACCAGCTGCCCGGCCCTGGGCGATCCCTACAAACCAGCGCACGGACGTCACATCTCCATAAAGGAAAATAAAAGGCACTGGCACCTTCTCTTGTGCCAACAGAGATGCCTGCAGCGCGGGCTGGCAGCACCTCTGGCGGCACTGCCGGACACTCCTGCGCCAGGCCAGAGCCTCTGCCCCGTGCCAGCAAGGGCTTGGGGGTCCCTCCCTTAGGGAGAAGCGGGGGGGCCTTGCGTGGAGCCAGGACCAGATTAAGGCAGGATGCACCGTGCGGGGAGCAGGGACCTGCAGCGGGTATGGCTTCCTCCTGCCAGCGGGCCGGGAGAGCTGCGAGGCTCTTGGAGCCCCCTGGGCAGGTGCAGTGCACCGGTGCCCACGGATTCCAGGCAGCTCACTCCTTCCAGGAGGTCCCCGGAGCAGCTGGAGCTGGGGCGGGTTCCCTTCCACCAGGCCTTTGCTGGCAGAGGGACACGGAGCTAATCCCTGCTCCGTTCAACATCCAAGTGACCCCGAAGCGGCAGCGGCGTCACCTCCTGCCACCCGCTGGGACCGTGCCCCAGGAAAGGGCCGAAAGGGGGGAGATTTGTACATGTCACAACTTCTCAAGCAGACCAGACACACACACACACACACACACCACCGAGTGCAACAGAACGCAGTGTAGAACCAGTTTCACGCACACGCAGTCCGTTTGTGCAAGGCTCACACGTTACAGTACGGCCGAGACGGGAGGCGATGGCTGGGATATTGTACAGGAGTCAATGTAAACAATAAAGCGTCCTCCGAGAGGCTTCGCAAGAGACCAAAGAACAGTTGCTTTGTACAAAAATGCCCTTAAAACGCGTTTTCTCCTAAAACCCCTCCATCCGCGAGGCTTGGTGGCTGCTGAGCACCCTGGAGGTGCAGCTCCCCGTGGTGCTCTGCAGGGCACAAGCAGCTCTCATGGGGTGGTCACGGGAAGCAGGAGCGAGTCACCACCCTCCCATGAGCCACCAGCATGGAGAAAGGGACAAGTGTCCCCAGGCAGAGACCTCTGATGCCAGGGGCTTGGTGGCTTCATTGCCCAGACACTGGTCAAGGAGGTTCAGGCCCCTCCAGTCTGCCCCCTTCCTGCCATCCTGCTCAGAGCCTCCAGACCTCCAAGGCCTTCATCACTCTGCAAGAGAACCACCATCCCTGACTCCCTCTGCCTGTCCACAGCCTTCCCAGAGAAAAACCAGTTGTGCTGGGCCAGAGCCCAGGACAAGGGGACAGCAAAGCACCTCCCTGCAGGGGCCTCTGCCCCTTCGCTGCTCTCCCCAGCTGAAGCACCCAGAGAGCAGCTGAGTATTGGAAGGAAGCAGCATTTCTGGTCTGCATGGAAGACCCTTCCTAGAGGGCATTTCTCCTGAGATCAAGCTGGGCAAAGAAACCCAATCCTCTTCCTCCTCCTCCTGCCTTCTTAAGGGAACAAATTTTACAGAGGGCTTTCCCCTCCCCAGCAGATCCTTGTCACCAGGACATGCTGACAGCCAAGCTTGCTCCCTCCAACGCAGGGCAGGCTTGGTGGCAACCCATCCCTTCCGCCTGCAGAGGGGCAGGCAGGCATGTCCTTGGGGTCAGAAACAGTGGGCAGCAGGGCCTGGTGATGTTTGTGGGGGAGGCAAGGACTGAATCTGTCCTTCACCAGATGACATGAGCCACTTGGCCTTTGCACAGTGTCTGCCCAGCTCTGGAGCCAGCTGGAGCAGGCTAGGAGAAGCCACATGTCTTTCAGTGTCCCAAAGAAGTAACTGGCTTCCCAGGCCAGGGGCTTAGGTGACTTCTAGTGACTGAAATGGCCTGGGGCGACGTGGTATTTGACCCCAGACAGGGCTGTGCTCCAGCCCGCAGTGAGCACGGGCAGCAACATCCTCCCAGAGCTCAAGCTCCATGGAAAGGGAGGGACAGTGCTCGTGGCTGCTGGAGCCCAGACCAACTCACAGACCTGTGCCTGGGCTGCAAAGCAGCACAGGAGGATCCCTGGGAGCTACAGCAGGGCAGCAAGGTGGGATTACCTTGCCAACTGCCAGACTCTCCTCTGCTGCCAGCTGAGGTGTCACAGACACCCCTCTCCCAGGGCAGGCACATGCTGCTTCCCAATACTCCCCAGCACTCCGGTGCCGGGCACTCCTCTCCAGCTCAAGATAAGTTTGTCCCATCAGAGTCTACATGGCTCTGCAGCATCAGTGCTGCTTTCTAGGCACAGCCTTGGCTGCTGCTCCTCCCACACCGTGTCCTCTCCATGCTGGGCTTCAGCAGCTGGAGCCATTCTGCATCTTCCCTGTGCTTCGTTCCTCCCCGGAGGGCAGGTCTGGGCCCAAGCCAAGCACCAGCTCAGACAGGACCTGCCATGGGACTGCAAACAGGACCCAGAGCTCCCCTGCCATGGCCAAGTGCCTTTCCCTCTGCTCCTACAGCACAGGGACAACTTGCTGATACATGCAGCTGGAAAGGAGGACCTTTGATTTAGCCAAACTGCTCAGAAATCACTAAACAGTTTGCTAGGATTTGGAGCAGACCCTTCAAACACAGTTTCTCCAGGGAAGCAAGAACCTGCAGAATGGCTTGGAACCTGCTGACAGCTTTCCACATCTGACTGGCACTTCTGTAACCCAGCTTCCAGCAGGAGGGAGACAGGCAGAGACACAGTGCTCCTCCGACAGTGGGGTAATGGGGGTTCACACAGGACCAAAGGAGAAGGGACACATTTGGCAAAGGCTGGCATAGAGGCTCACTTTTGGAAAGGGAAGACAGCTTACAATGTCAAATCCACTCCCATGTCTGTGCAGATCACAATGAACAGCACTGAGTTTGAGTCAGGTGGGTTTGTTTTCCAGTTTACAGAATGCAGTCTTGCCCTTTTTTTTTTTTTAAAAACCCATAGAAACAACAACAAAAAAACCCCCCTCATATAAATATCATATATACAATTTAGGCAAAAAAAAAAAAAAAAAAAAGAAAAATTCCAGAAAACATCTTCCCCCTGGGTCAAGAGTTAGGAGTGACAGCAGAGAGGACAAAGCTTTGCATTGAGGGCAACAACTGTTGTGTAACAATGGTAACAGGTCGAGGTTTGGGAGCAACCAGAAATGCCTGTGAGCACAGCAGAGGGGAGAGGAAAACTCAGGCAGCACGAGAACAGCTTTTGGGCAGAGGGGAGGCAGCAGGAGGGCAGAGGACAGATGATATGGCCATGAACTTAGAAGGCCCACAGCAGTATTCAAGTAATGGGAGGGTTAAAACCCTAATGAGGTGTTTGTTTTAAAAGAACACGCTGGCTTTGGGGGTAGAGGCGAGCTTGGCAGCTCATGGAGGAGCTCTGCCCCACCTCACCACAGAACAGGGCTCTGTGTGCCCCATGGCAGGTGAGGAGTGCAGGTCTCAGTGCTGCCCATCCCTTGGGAGGATTGACCCCTGTGTGCTCCTTTTTGGGAAGCACCAGCTGAACTGAGCCCAGGGGGGGGGTTTGTCGTGAAGCAGCTTTGTGAGGGACCTGCCAGCATGGTGGAGTTCCAGTTTGCAGAAATAAAAGGCCAAACAAAGGGACCTTGGCACAGCCTTCACATTTACGGGGGCTCCCACCCCACCAACTGCCCAGCACCATTTCAAGGCATGGGGAGAATTCAAGTTAGGAACTAGGATCTGGTTCTAAGCAAAACTCCACCTTGCCAAAGCTAGCCAACATCAATTTTCGCATGATAAAGGTGTTCTTTTAAAACAAACTAACAAAAAAAAAAAAAAAAGAACATTTGAGGTTATCTGAGTTAAAAAACTTAAAAAAACCCAAACAGTCCTGCAGTCAGAGTCACACACAGAAGAACCAACCCACACCTACATGCGCCAGGAACAGTAAAATGACAATATATATAAAATTAACCAGTAAAGTGCATGTTCCTTATATTACACCTTCCCCTTGTGTGAAAGCAACACCACGGGTTCTGAGTAAGAAATCACAGCCAAGGGCCCGGGATCACATCGTGTTGTAGAGGGGATTGGTTGTCCGCTTTTTCTCATTGGTCTTTTTGAGCCTCCTCAGAGGGTGAGTTCTCCCGTGCTGCTGCCGAGGTGCGACAGCCAGACCTTGAGCTGGAGACAAGGAGTCCAGGACCTGCACCTGGAGCAGCGGAGGACCCTCCTCAGAGCTAGTCCACGTCGGATCCGTGCTGGAACACAAACTCTGCTGGCTGGAGCCGCACTCTTTGGCGTACTGAGCCAGCGGCCTCTCCACCGGCTTGCTCTGGGCAATGCACTCGGCTGTTCTGAGCTGTTCCACAAAATGCTTAGTGGGCTCTGGGGAGGAAAGGCGATGCTTTCCACACGTGCTTTCCGAGCCCCTCTCCAACCTTCCCTCGCAAAAGCCTCGACCGAGGGCAACGCAGGTGAGAAGCACCGGGTTGGCATGGGAAGAGGCTGAGGCAGACTCCCTCTCGCACAAGTCGTCCTTGGAGAGGTCCAGGCAGTCCAGTTTGGCCAAGGATGCCGAGCGTTTCATGTGGGAGGGTGTGGTGAGCCCCGCGTGCCGGATCCGAGCCTCTATTTCCTTCGCTCGCTGCTTGACCAGCCCGGGGCTGCTGCTGCGCTCCTCCACACTGCGGCTGCTGGGGCTGTGCGGGAGGCTGTAACACAGGAACGAGATGTCCAGAAGGTCCATGTTTTCGGCATGCTGGCTGGTGAAGTCCTCCCTGCTCAGCTGCCTTGAGACGCTGTCACCGCCCCCGCAGAGAGGTTTGGGTCTGTCCCTGAACGGCAGAGTCGTGTCTCCCTCGATGCCACACGGCATGACTGGCTCATCGTCTGTACCCGTGCTCTGCTCAGTGACACCTTCCAGGTGGATCACATAGGGATAAGGAGAGCGGTCGAGGCTGGCTGAAGGTGTAGAGGTCACCTGGGCAGAGGGAGGGGCAGCACCGAGGTGAACAGATAACCCACCACCTTCCACGCTGGGGCTGCCCGCAGTGAGGGTGGCCTGCTCGCGTACCGCGTGCTCCGGCGGGGGGAGATCCGCCAGAGCTCCGAGACAGGTTGGATTCTCCTCCAAGCACACTGAAGGGTTCAAGTTTTCATCTAAAGATGGGATGGCCGTGGCCAGCCAGCCCTGCTCACAGCTTGTGTCAGGGTGCTGCTCTGCAGACTTGACCATGGGAGTGTATTCGATGATTTCGACTCTCTTTGGGAGGAGGGAGAGCAGGGGTGGCTCCTCCGTCCCATCAAACGAGACCACTGTCCTGTGCTCCTGCACCGCTCCCTCCTGCCCCAGGCTGGGCTCTGCAGCAGGGGGGGTGAGGGGCGCAGGCAGCTCTGCCCCAGGAGGCAGCAGAGGCTCCTCAGTGCCCGGTGTCTGCGCCCTGTCACCCTCCGGAGCCAGCTCCAGGGGCGGCTCCTCACTCTTCCCCCGCGGCAGGAGCTCGGCAGCAGGAGAGTCGTTCCTGGAGTTCTTGCGGGTGGGTAAGGTGCAGACGGGGGATGTGTGCTGGTGCTCCTGCTCCTGTCTCAAGCGCTCCTCGAACTCCAGCGTGGCTCGCCGGACGGAGCCGGGGCACCACTTGGGCTCAGGGTTGGTGGAGCCACGAGGCTCTTGCTGCTCCCTTGCAGAGCCGCTTTCCTCCAGCTCTGATTTACCAGATGGCTGCAGGGAGGGGGCAGCTTCTTCCTCAGTCAGCAGAGGGTCCTTCTCCTTTTCCTGGTGTCCAGCACAGGCTCCTTCACTCTGTTCCACCCTTTCCAATGCCCAAATGGCCTCCACTGGCAGGTCATGCACCGTGTTCCTCTTTGGTGTCTGGCTGAGGTTGGCTGAGCCCTCTTTCTGCTGGGCAGGTCCTGCTCCCTGGTTGATTGACTCGATCTCTGTGATAATTTCCTTCACAGAAATGGCATTTTCCGAGTGGGATCTCGTGAGATGACCTGCACTAGGCAGCTCAGGGACCTCCTGCAACACACAAACAGGAAAATTACAAAGTGGATCAGCTCTGCTAACACAACGCAAACAGCAGCAGCTTAAAGGAGACAGGGGTACACATCCCAAAGGAACAAAAAAGCATGTGCCAGTGTGTGGAGATGGATCACAAGAGCAGTGATCACTAATGTAGATGCATTAGTGCCTCTGGGATTCAATTTAACATATTCTAGGCTGGATTTCCACTAATTTCACTTACACTGAGATTTAAGAACTTCTATTTAATTGTCACAAACTCCAAGGAAAATTTAGCCTTTTCTTTTTTTTAATAAAGAAAAATCCAGCTAACAAAAAGAATCCTAATGCTGCTAAAAGTGCAGTTCTGAACTGAAAATATGAGAGATTCTGCTCACGTACAGAGCAAACAAAAGTACAGCAAAAAGAATGACCAAGTGCTGAAACGCTCTGGTTTCCTGGAGGAAAATGGCCAGAGAGGCTCCCCATCCCCACAGACACTGCCAAATCACTGGAGAGAGCGTTGCCCTATTATATTTGGAAGAGCCTTATTGCCTCACATGGAGATGGAAAGGATTCAAGCAATGCAGCGTGGAATTTAAATAAGAGAGGCTCCCAGAAAACGATGGCCCCGGACATCATCAATCCCTGTGAGAGTCCTGGAGGCTGAAAAGCGATTACCTAAATTTAGAGGTTACTAAATTTTGTTCAGGACCATCTCTCTATTCAGGAGAGAAGTGAGCCATGACATGCCCAATGCCATCACTCTAGATCTGGACAGGCTCATTTCTTCCTCCAGCAGTGGAAGCTGTACATCTGCCTTGATTTACTACCCCAGTGCTGGTGCTTCCCACCCAAGGAAAGGCACCAGTTTTGCCCCATTCTTTGGTGGATTTCTCAAGTCAGATAAATATCCGTGCAGGTTTGGGACATTAGCTGGGTTTGGCTGTGCAGGGTCCAGCTGTATTAGTGGGTCAAATCCCACCTTTCTGCTCTCCTGATGCAAAATTCAAAAATAAGTTTCTCACGAGAACAGCACAGTAGGTCAGGTCAAGGTCAGCTCAGCCAGTGCCCTGCCAATGCCAGCAAACTGATGTTTAAGGAAAAAGTGCAGAAAAGGGCAAGTATCTAAAAGTGAAGGAAGAGTGAAGCATCCAGCAATCCTTTCCCAAACAGCCACCCTGTCCAGTGAAAGCAGGGCTAGAAAATCCTATCCACAGCACCCCCTACAACAGGAGAACTGCCCAGGGATAGGTTTGAACAGCAGTTCCTAAAAAAAACAAGCACGTTATTTTAACCTTTTGTTGTTCTTCATCTGTGGAAGAGTCATCTGATGCCTGAGGAGAGTTTCCAGGGCTGTTCCTTCGAGCATCTGTACCCCCATCAGCAGCAGGTGGCACTTCCAGCACAGGCACCCTGGAGACCCCGTTCCTTCCACTCCCTTGCTCCTCCGGCCTGGAATGGGAGCAGGTGCGTGACCGGCTCTCCTGGGAAAGCTCCACGAATTTCTCCAAAGCGCTGAAGAAATCGATCCTGTCTGTACTGAGGTCTGTCCCTTCGGGCTGAGGATTCTGCTGGAGACTCGGGGAATTTTGGTTTGGGGATTGAGGAGAGTCTTTTAAGCATGAAGTGAATTCTTCCATGGGAACCAAGTGCACGTTCATATCAGGCTTAAGGGCATCTTTTTCTAGATCGTCCACTGTCAAATCAGGAAACTCCGTTATTTCCAAGGGGTGCTGGAGCTGCATTAAGGCCTCAGAAGAATGGCAGTTATCAGGGGGGACAGAGTCTACACAACACCCCGTCGTACAACCATTGATATTGTTCAGGTTCAGCTTGTCCTCCATCTGCTCAGCGTGGAAGTCTCGGCACGTAAACTCTAAGTGGATCCTTCTCTCCTTTGCGCACACGTCCTCGATCATGTTTGTGTCCTCTGGAGGCTGCTGCTCCCTGTCCAGCTCAGCTGAGTAGATGGGAGACATGGGCTGCTGGTTGTCGTTGGTCTTTGCCTCCGAGATCTGGTCGGCTGAGGTGGTGATCTCCTTTTTGTTCAGCTCCAGCCCAGACTTGCAGATGGGCTCGTGGTGATCCGAGAGGTCGCTGTCGGAGTGCGAGCGCCACAGTTTGTTGTGCCGCTGTTTGCTGCGGGCAGGGAAAGCAAACGAAAACACTGAGTAGTTTTCACGTACCAGACCCAGACCCACCTTGTTCTAAGGGGATACAACCTACAGGAAAAGCCGTGCCAAGTACTGGAGTCACTAACCACAACTGCAGCTTCACCACAACGGTTCAGGGCCAAACCTGCTGCTGGAGAAGTTGGTCCGATAACGAGTCACTTTCCAGGAGCTAAATCCCATGGCTCTATTCTGTTCCACACACACCTATTCCCCGGCAGTGTTGGATCAGTCCATTCTACAAATGCAATGTTTAATCAACTATTTGGGCCTTTCTCAGCCAGGAAGCATTTCCCGTTTTCTAGCAGGTGAGCCATGACCAGAAGAGACAGGATCCCTTGTCCTGGATGCAAGTGGGTGGTGGACACTGAATGAAGTCCAATTTCTCTTATGGTTCCTTCTTTTGAGTAGCTTCAGTGATCAATAACTGGCTCTGGTGACCAAGGGCTAGGGTGGGGTGAGTGGGCGTGGGTGTGTGTAAAACGCACAAGATATCCTCAACAGCAAACAAACAGCCCAAACCACCACCCACCTTCTACAGGAAGGAAGCTCAAGAGTTCTCCTGCTCTTGGAAAGCCCCTTTAGGAAGGCCTGAGCAACTGCCAGTGGCATTGCATCACCCTCTTCATCTCCACCTGCCAAAAACCCCAGCCCACACATCCAGGCTTACAGAGAGCCCCGGAGGCAACTTCTCGCCCCGAAACCCCAGAGCTACCCCAGTCTGCCAGGGTTTGCCGAGTGGTCACAGCCACAGGGATGTGCTTCCGCCCACTGCCCCTAGGAGGAACACAGAAACCACAGAAACCTCCTTGGATCTGCAGGAGACCTTGCAAAACCCCTCAGTACCTTACTAGTGTGAGCAGGCGCTCCCAGACACATCCGCTGGCTGCAGTAAGTTAATTAACAGATGCTATTGAGCTAATTAAAATGTGTCAGTGTAGTTGTGGGTGCCCAACAGCTAAGGAGAATAATCCATTGCAGATTTAGCTTTCCAACCCCATAATCAGTGACAACCTTCACGTGTGACACAGGGCAGAATCAGGTCCTTTCAGAGGAGAAGAGGGTCAAGATCAGAGCCCAAATACACTGCTCTGGGTGGCACGAGCTCTCTATTGGGTTTTGGAGCACAGTTTGACACTGGCAGCAGGAACAGGCTTCTCCCTGAGGCAGGTTCTTGCTGGGGCTCTGTATGGGGTGTCAAAAATTTCTGCTGATATAACCCCAGGAGCTGCTGATGTTTTTACAGGGCCCTTCAGTGCTCAAACCCAGCTCCCTGTAGCAAATCTGATTTCAGAAGTCAAAAGTGCCCTTGTGTGTGAGCAAACCAAACTTGCCTGGCACCAATCTGAGAATCAAGAGATGTCAAGCACCACTGGGAGAGGTGTGCTGTGTTAGCTTCCAACCTCACACTTCCTCCAGTCTTACAATGTGCAGGAGGTGCCTGAAGCAGGGTCAGAGACCAGGAGCCCACGTCCCTTCCTAGAGGCCACAGCCACCTCTTGACTTTCCTGGGCAACATTCCTGGTTCTTGTGCCCACACCAGCTTTAGACCAGGAGCCCCCCACACCTCCCACCAGCTCTCCAGGCTCAGATATAAAACTGCTGTTGATTCACAAGCTGCACAAGG